AGGAGTGGTATGTGTGGGCAACATGCTTCTCCACATAGACACACCCAAAACCAAAATACACACTAAGAGATTCCGTCACCCTAGAGGGAGTCATTTGTGCTCGCAGGAGGTCGGTGGGAGGCTTTTACGGGCCGTTATGTAGCCGGCTCACTATTCCTGGAAGAGTGCTGGTATCTTTTGATCAAATTCTACCCCACTCTCCAGTAACTTGCTTCCTATGAATTGTGGGCTAATTGTGCCATATGGGTTTGTGTGATTGTGTGTGTGTGTGTTGCCTGCATGTGTGTCTGGGTGGGCAGAGGCCTTTCTCTTCTTGATTGATTGTTGTCATCTTGGTGGATTATTGAGTTAGCAGCGAATGTGATAGGCTCACTACAGCATCTCAGAGGAGAGAATATGCACGCACACACGCGCGCGCACACATACACACACAAGCCCCTCACGCCAATAGACTTCTTTAATTCAGTGACTGGTGGAAATCTTTCGGGGAAGGGGTCCATGGCTGTGTGTAATACATCGAGGAACCTAAAGTATGTGTGTTGGATGGATGTGCAATAGCATGGCTATTGCCCTGTACTCGGGCAGCAGTCCATGTAGGAATGCATGTGTGCAGAGGATATAGTGTGTGTTTCTTTGAATGTTTGAATAATAGTGAGTAGTGTTGGTGTAGGAGTCAAATGCACACAGATAAGACCCCAAGGCTTTTTGCTTTTATCCAGTCAAATAGAATAAAAGCTGTTGAATAGATTTTGCAGAGCTTTTGGATCTCTCTTTTTTTCCACCAGGATTACCAGAGGACATACTGAGACCTGAACTGTACCCCATCTTCTATCTGATATTGTGTGAAGGGAGCTAAGATCTTGACCATAAAATTGAACATAGGAAGTCAAAAATACAGTATGCTGTGTATTACTTTTGGCTAACTATGTAGGCGTAGTTGACTGTTTGCGGGTTTCCCATTTTAAAATGTCATAAGCAGTGGCATGCAGTAGGCAAAGGCAGATATACCGTAAAACTTCCATTAATAGCTGAGTCCCAAATAGCCGCCTACCCTCTTTACTGGCCTGGTGTGGGAACACATTTTGACAAATAAACGCTGGTCTCCATTAAACGCCTGGTCCGGTTTTTATAGAGGTTCTTTGGATGTATAAAACCTCTTAAACCCCGCGGGTTCGCCTGCTTTAGCTGCTTCTAAGCTGCTTAGATAGTGCATACAAATATTAATGTTTAAACATATGATCAATATGTCAGTATGGACATGCTACACTTTGTTAGATCGGTAAGATTCTCCACAATTCAATCATTCAGTTCATTCAAAACAGCAAGCCCCAAAGTCTAATTCTTATAGATTTACCAGTGTAACCTGCATGGTACAAGAGATGAAAAGAAAAAGAAAAGTGCAGAGTCCCATTACTTTTGAAGCGCTCATTAAGTCCGCTCGTTAAGTCTAAATGTGTCCGTTCCTTGATTATTAAATTCCTTTAGTTGTGAATCCTGTCATGTGAAGTCCATCGCCTTCTGTCTGCTAACTTCTGCCACACTTCTCTCATCCTGCACCGTGTTGTTGTTTTTGTTACGTTGCTGCCTTCAAAATAAAAGCACAGAAGCCCCCTGTCAGAGCTAGATCAAATGAATGAGGTGTATTTGATATTACTGGATAATTTTTATACAAGTAATATTCTGTTTGAAATAAATCAACTGTTTCATAGTAGCCTATTTCCGTTTTGTGCAAGAGGAATTAAAGACCTGTCCCATATGGAAGCCTGTCCCAAATATAGGCAGGGTCAATTCAGTGATTTTAGCAAATAAAAGCCCAGGCTGTTAATCAAAGTTTTAGGGTATGTATAAGGGCCCCTCTACCCTACTGTTTTCTATCTCATTTTATCTTTACAATCAGAGCTTGTTGTATCAATTTATTTAACCCAGGTCTGCGTTATATTGATGATGAAGTAAAAAGAATGTACTTGCACACAATGAAGGCAATCTACAGCTGTAAACCTGCACATCTATAAACACCCAGAGTCTGTCATTGTCTGCTATCGATGCAAGAAATTGACCTTGCTTGCCTTAAACTTGAACTTAAAATGTTCACTGGACCTATTAGCTGTTTGATAAATGTGCTATGTTATGTATTCTCTAGTTGAGAAAATAATGGGCCAGGTGTAAGCGCACTTTGTCACCATCAAAAACATAATGACAAAAAGAGTTAAAGCTGTTACTGACAAAATAGCAGAAATTAGTATTTGAATCAGGCTTTACTTTTCTCTACAGCAATTTTAATGGCAGAGTTTGACCGCTGGATTATTTTGTTTATTCCCGTTACTCATGTGAGTAACATGAGTAAACGCATTATTTCCCCATAATCTGGTTTACCACAGCATCATGAACCCTAAATAAGAAGTTTTGCCATGATTTAATTGCTGTAAACGAATGAAAAGGATGCTGAAATATCTACATGATTTTGTAGAATGTCTGAATTCCTACATGTCAGGTCTGTCCGCAAGATGACAAGCAAACAACTTTTAACATGCTTGTCATTCAGTCTATGCTATGCTAACTTTCATATTAAAGTACAGCAATAGCTGGAATCAAGTAATGAATACATATTTTCAGAACTTACCATGTAATTCAACTTCTTGGCTTACTTTTCTCCCAAAAATCTCCTTTGCTCAAGTTTATATTTTCAACTTTAGCGAATACATGAATTTTGTGTATTTGCTTTAATTACCTATTCATGTCTTCGCATTGATTTTGTATGTAATCATTGTGCCACGTCAAAAATATTCTTCGCTTTCTGTTTGAACACAACTTTAGGGTTGGGTTATGCTCAAAAAGATCTAGTTTATACGATGTGTTGTCTGACCTCATCTGAGGGCAGAAGTGTTTATAGCTGTTCCAAACGGCCACACTGGGCAGTGGAGTGAAAAAAGAGGAGCGAGAGAGGTTTAAATATGTGGATAGCAGCACACATTTTCAGACATTTTGTCGTCATAGTGTTGCACTCAGTTGTACACGCAAAAACGTAACAATTAAAATTGTGTAATAAAAAATGAAAGGTTAAATCAAGGGCAATACTTGACTGAAGATACTTTTCAAGTGTCTTCAGTACAGTAAAATCTGTTCAACCATCCAATAAGCAGTTCTGATGAAGCATACTTGCAGCTTTAGGCTTCCAGTTAAACAATAAACTATTTTGCTGTGATTAAATCAGCTGTTATGCTTAGAATTATCACTGATCAGGTGCAAAATTGTGTGTTTTCTTTCACATTTGTCCTCCTTTGAATCTGAGTGAATCAGGACATGACATGCATGCGTCTAAAAAGCTATAGCTGATTAATAGCTCAACAAATTCAAAAGGGTCAGTCCTGTAAGCTCCCCGACCAATTTAATTGCAGCCTGAGCGGCAACTCATCTTTGCTGATGTCCTCCTGCGTGAGCTTTATTGAGCTCTCTAACCACGACCCAGAGCCGACCAGAAGATGTATGACTCTTGTGACTGATTTCATTTCCTTCAGCCCCTCTATGCAAGGGATAGACAGAGGTTATTAAGAGAGAGGGAGCTCCGTCGTTCTACGTTTGCATATGTTGCCTTTTCCCTCATCTCTCTCTCATTTATCTCTTTTTCAACATCTTCTTTTTCAAAATCTCCATCCACCTCAATTTTGTTTCCCAGCCATTATCCATTCTTTTTTTTCTTCTCCTTGCACTAGAGTGAAGGCTTTATCTTTGGTTTGCTGCGATATTCCTTGAATTTAGTGTGATAGTGCTTGGTGCAAGTCGCAGTTCACTCACCTCGCCCCCTGTCGCTTCAGACCCTGTCTGTGAAGTTGTTGCACTTGCCCTCTATACGAGGGAGTTTTTAATTATCACTCAGTATTTGATCATCTCCCTCCACTGCCTGTCACAATGTCTCATCGGGTTGCTGGTAACATTTCCATTACATTAAGAAGAGCAGCCACGGCTGTGTATCAAGTGTATGATGTGTGTGTGTGTGTGTGTGTATGTGTGTGTGTTTGCGTGAATGTGCTCGGTGGTGCGTTCCTATCAGAGACGAGGTTCTTCCCTCCCTCATCCATCTTCAAGCGCTTGGCTAGAAATGACATGTCGACACACAGTGAAACACATCATTGCTTGAGACACACAAACACACACACACACACACACACACACACTCACTGGAAATGGAATTGGATTGGCAGCGGAATTCTAATTAAATGGTTTACACCCCCCCCCCCCTTTTTTCCCCCAAATGGCATGCTAATTGAGTTGATGCAAATAGGGACTCAACAGTCTGAAAGGTTCAAATTGCTTTGTTATTTTTTTTTGCTGCTGCACAAAATGTTATATGCAAAGAGTGCAGGTAGGAGTGAAGGGAGATAGGGGAACAAAAAGGACACCATCAATGAATCAATCTTCTTCATGTAAAAATAATTGGGCCCAAAAAAAACACTGTTGATGTAGGAGTGGAAAGGGTGAGTCTGTATTGGGAAAACTGTGGAGTTTCTCTTTTCATTGTAGAGGGTTTAACTTTGCTTGTGTTGTACACGTGAGTGTGCATGTATACACGTTGTTTGCGAGCACATATTTTAATAACCCCTTAAGCTCACTGCAGTGGTATTATTCAGGAAGGCCCTCACCTCCCCAGAAAATTCCCAGAGCATTCTCATTGTTGTTGGCAGGACGGTTGGAAAATAGTGAGCCGCTCTTTAGCTCGGCAGGGGTTGAATCGATAAATCTGTCATTGTTTATTTTACAAAAACTTCCAATTTTCACCTCTGGGCACTCCCAGAGTCTGAGGCTAAATACTCAAACTGTTCATGCCTGCTTGCTCAGTGTAGGATTGCTGGCCAATTGCTGTGCGGTGAAAAGATACTGTCCTCAATAAAGTCAACAAGTTGCCATTTTTGTAGGGCAGCAGGAGAGGCCGTTTGCTTCCAGAACATGTGAACCTCATAACATATGTGTCTTTTTACTTTTTTTTCCTCTTCTCGCCCCTTTAGGTGTTGGCCTTAGAAAGACAGGTTTTTGACTTCCTGGGTTACCAGTGGGCCCCAATCCTTGCCAACTTCTTCCACATCATCATTGTCATCCTCGGCCTCTTTGGCACCATCCAGTATCGGCCGCGCTACATTGTGGTGGTGAGTATATATAACTGAAGACTGGTAGTTCATATTAAACTCTATTCAGGCTGTCACATAATCCTGTTCCTCACGGTTTTTGTCAAGCAGTGTTCCATCACTTTGCATTAGTCCTCTGCCTGTGCATCTGTTTGTACATGTTGTTGCCTTTCCTCTTTAATTGCAGCACTCTCTTGTATATTTTGTGACACCCTTAAATCACTGTAATCCCATAGTAATTAGGGCTAATGAAAAGGCGTGGGGGTGTTTGGGGGGACTAAGGAGCTCATCAGATTTATACTCCACGCAGAGTTTCTGGACAGAGAAGGTCATTCTTTGAAACACTGTACAAAGCAGTTTCTCCCTGTTGTTGCCCTCCGCCACTGTGAAGCTTCATAAATGTGCTTTTATGCACTTGAGTTTTTACTTGCAACCATAACATTAATCTTAGGCATTAAAAACCTCTTTTAAGCAGCAGTAGTGGAAGCACAGATGGTGATGTTAATGACCAGGAAAAGACTGCGGGAGCGAGAAAAGAGAGGAAAAGAGAGTAAATAAAGACAGACAGAGCAGATGTAGATGGATAAACGGGAGACACACAGGATGAGACAAAGAAACAGAGGAAGCAGGAATTGAAGGGAGGAGAGGAAGGAGGGAGAGTAGAGCTATTGTCATGTCAAGTGGAAAAATGGGAAAGAGCAAGCTGAGGGCTTTCGTGATTCAACATGTATGTTTTTTCATGAAGGTTCTGGTTTGCCGCTCGCTCTTCCTCTGACACTTCTGATATTTTAAACACAATTCTCATCGTGAGTCAGAAGATTTCACAACCTTCACAGTGATGACTCTCTTTCTCTGTCTCTCGCTGTCAATGAAAACCACTGCGTGTCTGTCAAGAGTTAGCTGTCTGGCTATACAATTTTATAAATTGTTGAAGTTGTGAACTTCATTCAGCCTCAGCAGTTTAAAAAAACTGCAGCTCCCTCTGGGCTCAAATAGACTTGCTGAACTTACTGGCACCTTAAAAAAAAGTGAGGTTATGCATACAAATCTATTTGTATGTTTATAGCCTATGCTGTTTCCACTATATGTGTATACAGCATGTGGGTGTGTATTTATGCATTTTTATGCAGGATTATGTGTGTGTGGGAGGACACTGTCCACTGACTTTACTTTGTTTAGGAGCTCGTTCATTCAACCTGTCATTTTAGTTCATCTGGTTTCCATGGAGCTAATCTGTCTGTGTCTTTGCTCCCCAGTATACAGTATGGGCCGCTCTGTGGGTGGCCTGGAACGTCTTCATCATCTGTTTCTACCTGGACGTAGGAGGCCTGTCCAAGGTAAGACTTTTGAAGTTTCAGCCTGCTGTTTTCTCCAACTCTTTCGTCATCCTTCTGTCAGCCAAGTCGGGTGGCTTTGTCTATACTGTGTTGAATGTTTTATTTTTCTAAGGTCATGCTGCTGGTGGGGGAGTGAAGCCTCATTTGCATTCCTATGCACAAGGGTTACGCCACCTACACTGTAGTTGTCTTTTTGAGAACCTACAGCTGACGTACACTTATACCTGCTTAGCAGGTTTCAAATCATTCAGAACTCAGCTGCCCGGATCAAATAATTCGACCACATCAACCCCGCTCTAATCCAACTACACTGGCTCCCTGTCCAATACTGGATTGACTATAAAAATCTTCTGCTTACCTTCAAAGCCGTCCACAACCTAGCCCCCACTTATCTTTCTGACCTCCTTCAGGAGTACACCCCTTCCCTCTCCCTGCGCTCATCCTCAGTTGGTCTTCTGACCATTCCCACCTCACACCTCAGAAGCATGGGTGCTTGGGTTTTGCAGCTGCACTGCTCCCTAGCTTTGGGATTTCCAGCCCCAACACATTTGACAGCATTTAAATCCCACCTCAAAACACTGTGATTATCATTGTACTGGACATGTCCCTTATATCCATACCATGTTAATGTTAGTGTTTTATCCCCCCACCTACACGTGTCTGCCCAATTTTTGTCTCCTGATTTGTCTGTGTGTTTTTCCATGTTTCACAGTTTTTTTTCTGTACGAGTCTGGTTCTTTGTAAGGCGACCTTGGGTGTCTTGAAAGGCGCCCACAGGTAAAATGTATTAGAATTATTATTTATTGTTTTTACCATGGCCACAGAAAATACTTATTTCTGATTGGCTGGCAGGTGACCTAAAGACGAATCCGGGTTGAGAGCAGACGTGAACAAGCAGCCATTGCTGGGGTGGCATCTCACTTGTAAACCCGTAACACCGTATTAAAGTAATCCATAGCAACAATAACTGCTATAGTTACTACTTGCTAACAGACTTGCTAACAGTTAGCTAACTCTTACAGGTAAATATTAGGTTTTTGAAAAGGATAAGTAATTCTGTAATACTAGACAGATTTAGCTATACTAGCAGATTTTCCAATACAAGTGTTCTCCTTTCAAAGTGAATGAGAGAATGGTTCCAATTACCAGCAGAACAGGAACAGGTGAGGGCAAAGACAGTTTTCTGGAAATAAAATCATTCTTATCTTTGCCAAGAAAAAGCCTCAAGTCTGAGTTTGTTTTTTCTCCTGAAAATGATTCAGCTTTAATTTGATGTTACACCATCACAGCACAGCTGCTGTTGTTGTAAAAAACAAAAGTATAATTGAGCATTCTTAAGCTTTATCAGCAATTAACATATGTTTTAGCTATAATTCACTGTTACCAGGTGCTTTATGCGTATGTCAAGCCTGAAGTAAACCATTACCTGTGGTACAGCCGTCTAGTATGTATCCTTCACCAAACTATAAATCACCCCTTAGGCTTTGGGAAACACACACAACTGCAACACTTCAACAGAGATGTATGATTTGGCCTTGAAGAATGTCTGTATTACCTTCTAAATTGTTTGTGTGGTGCTTAATAGGTAAATGATTGGGGACAATCCCCCCCCCCTAAACCCCCACGTACACACAAACACACCTTTAAATTTGAATAAAATTTACACACCCTGTACATTTATTCACCCTCCATCCTCCTGTCAACACTCTGCTCTCTTCCCCTTTGATCTTTTAAATTTATTCTGCATATTTTGCAAGTTCCATATCTTGCCTTTTTCATTTCAGCATACTCCTCTCCCCTCCTCTCCTAGCTATTCTTGCCCAATTGCTTCCCTGACCATTGAGAATAATGAATTAATGTAGGCAACGTTCATCTCACAGCAGTTTGGACAGCCAAAATGAATTTCAGAAACACCTTCCCAAGCTCTGGCGACTTTGTCATTGTGTAATAGACCTTGGCTCCATCAAGTGTGTCCGTCTGTCACTGCATATTTGTCAATGTGTGTCCACTGTGTGTGTATGTGTGTGTGGAGGATGGGGGGGTGTTTCTGCATGGTTCCAGCTAGAATAATGAGGCTTGTAGGGGCCAGCTGCTTGGGGCTGAGGCTGGGCATTAACCCGACAGATGGAGCCAGCCTGGGCTCCCAACTCTGCATATGGTGGCCAGGAGGAGAGCTGGCTAATGGAGCGCACACCCACCTACCCACACCCCATGCACACACGCACGACCAAACTTGGCACACAGCTTTCGGAGAGGCCCCTAACACATCTTACCATAAAACAGAGTCAGCTAATTCGGACTGGTTTGCCTTGACCGATGTTGACAGGACTATGCTGGAGGGTGTGTTTGTATGTATGTATGTGTGTGCATGTGAGTGAGGAGGCACTCCAAGTGAGGGGGCAGTGTGTCTGAGTCATATGCCACATGCTCTGTCACCTCCTATTGATCCCTTATCCCCACCCCCATGGTGCAAGACAGACTGACAGACAGACCCCTGCTACTCTATACACACCTCTGTTTTAAACAGTCCTCACTCATTCACCGCCTTCCTTTTTATTTGTTCTCTTTCACATTCAGTCACTGCAGACATAGAGACTGTGGACATGCAGAAAGCTGTCTGAATTTGATAAAGCTTCTTTCTCTTGCTATTTTGGTGTTTCACACTCAGTAACTGAGTTTTGCTTTTTTGAAAAATGTTTTCCAAAAAATTAAATACCCAATATGATAAGCTGTGCTTCTAACAAATATCTTATAAATATCCTTTGTCTTTTGATATTAGCAGAGAACGGTATACAGAACAGGTTGTCACTTATGTAGATGGTAAGCATATTATAGCAAGATTTTTATTTTTGCTTGAATGTCAGTCATTTGATTTTTAGATGTTCAGTTTTTTAGTCAAGCTAGCCGTGTGGATGGCCAAACCATGAGTCATTTCACCACTTAGCTCCAAATAAATGAAAAAATCTCAACAACTATTGGATGGAATGACATGAAATTTTATACACCCACTGATACTCGCTCATGAGTTCAAGCGAGCACGCGTATGAGCTCACACCTGGTTGCAATCTTAAAACCACACCTGCTATTGGCCGCTGGAAACTCCATAATGCCCCTTTTAAGTGAAATGTCTCAACTATTGGATGGGTTGCATGGTATGGCTGCACGATTTGGAGAAAAAGTCATATTGCGATTATTTATTTAATACTTGTGCAATGTTCTATATTGGTCTCTAATTTGTTAATGCTACTACTTCTACTAATGCAAAGTACTAATTTGTCAATAATCATATTCAACATTAGAAAATTTGCTGTAGTATGTCCCAGCACATCCAGGCTATGATTGGTCGGTTGACAAAAAGTGACACTGACAAGCACATCAGTATTATGAAAGTTGAACATTATGAACAACAAAAGGCACCAATACAGCTAACGTTGAGTGGCCAGTGAGCCAAACCCAAACCTTCTTTATCTTCTTCCTGTTTTCTTCAGCTGCAGACGACACATCTCTGTCTCTGCCATACACCGATACACATCGACATTTCTCCCGGTGCTCTGGTGGCGAGTCCGGCTATGTTTTGAACGATTAGCAGCGGGGCTGGGAGGGGAGTTACGGTAGGTTATTGTCTTTAACGTTACCCGCACACTGCTCCTAAATACTTTTTCTGGTTTGCTAATAGGCCTGTCTGTTTTAGGGGCACATGCGAGAGCACGGTGGGGCCACAGAGAGGAAATTGTCACACACACAGCACACTTTTTCTGTTTATTTAAATCGCACCCTTTTTGCGGTTATGTCATTGCACATGACAACATCGCGATTGCAATTGCGGTTAGATTAATTGTGCAGCCCTTTTGCATACAAATCTGTTTGTATTGTATGTTAACAATGTCCTGTAAATGGGATGTAACATAGCATGCATTTAACTTAAAGCACAGATGTGCATGAGTATAGCTTCACAGCATGGCTGTAAACCTTGTCTTTTGTCACCCATCATTGTTTAAACCAAAAACTGAATTGATCTGATTAGGTATATGAAAACATTCGCCTACACTGCTTCTGACTTTGTGACCTAGAATCTGAATTTGAACAATTTAGATCTGAATTTGAATTGCTCAACTTGAATAATTTTATTAAAACATGAATTTGATTATTTAATATTATATAATTTAATTATTGAATAATTACGTTGATAAACTGAACCTGAATAGCATAATTTCAAATTGAATCTATTAGTTTGAAACTGAATTCCAATAAACATGAAACTGAATGTAATATTATGAAAGTGTTCAACAAATATCAGCCCATAGAGATCGCTCATTTTGAGTGCCAGTATAGCTAAAAAGGCTGTATTAATAATATTATGATATTTGTTTATTTTGTTACACAGCTTCTTGAGCATAAAGTGTTTTATATGTGTTTATTTATATTTGAAGGACAGGTTAGTATAGTAACAATGCGGAAATAGAAGCTGTGTTAATAGGCAGCATTTATGAGCTTTGATCACAAAAAAATGTTTATGAGAACAACTTAATGGTACAACAGCTTATTAGGGCCATTGTAGATAATTTTTTAAATTACAGAGAGGGGGGAGGGGGTTATAGCCCAAAGAAAGAAACTGAGACACAGATTAAAGTCGTAAATTTACGAGAAAAAAACTGTGGAAAAATGTGTTTTCTGAGGTTTTAGTCATTAATAATACAAGACAAGAGTCAGTGTAGACATAAGAGAAGATGTGGAGCTTTCAGACAGTAAGGCAGATATGATGGACTGCAAAAAAAAAGCCACTTAAAAGCATGTGTCACATCTTAGTCTTATATAAATGTCTGCAGTTCTTGAAGTATCTCATGATGCCAGTTGGTGAAAGTAGCATATATGTGACTGCATATCCTGCTAAACAGAGTACATAGCCTTTAATAACACAAGCACATCTGTCCCTCCCCAACCACCCACACACACAAACACACAATGACTGCAAACTTTGTATAAGAGATGATAGCAGACCACACACCCTCAAGTCTCTGTAGCTCCTGAATCAATATGCAACCACCGTGCATGCACACCTTTATGGAATCTAAGTAAATATGAGACTCCCATCAGAGCCAGAAGAGTCAACAACACCCAGTTAGCCACTCGGGTTTAGATAAACTCCCACCTCTGTATTTCAGAAATAATACATCATGAGAAATAAGATTCTAATCATTTGATGTTTAGCTTTATATAATGCCTTATGTCTCTAGTGATTCCTGTAACAGGATTGTCTCCAAATATGTATTGACTTTTGTTTTAAAGAAAATGGTATGAGCAGTATCAGTAGACTAACCTTGAATCTATGGGATGGATTTGTTCTTTGGGGTGCATGGGACCATAACAATAACATTTCTGACAGTAAGTTGCCAAAAGCCTCAATATCGACTACTGACGTACTGCAGTGGTGAGGGCGGCTATAGCTGGGATAGAGATGGTTTCCCTAGCTCGCAGGCTCAATCAATGGCATCTGTCAAGTCGTTAGTCTTCACAATCCTACCTATTGACCTTCAGCCGCCCTTGTTTTTGTGACTCTGTGAGAAACCAACATAATGACAGAGAAGGAAACTCGAGACAGAAGGTGATGATGAGCTATCAACATGGAGAAAGAGAGGGATAATATACAGTAGCAGACTTAAAATTGTTCATGTCTTGTTCATGTTTCCACTGACTTCACAGATCTGTTGTTGAAAGTTGTTGCTGCCGGTGATATGTATGTGTTGTTGATGTGTCCATGTGCGTGAGGGTGGATAGGATCTCAGCGATGTTTCCTGACAGTGCTTGGCTCTGTTAATAATGCATGTCTTGTCACTGAGGGGCAGATGCGGAGTTAGATTGCTGTGTTGGGGTATTGATTGGTGCGAGCGTCTGTATGTGTGGGCTCATATGGCTATGTGCAAATTGAATATCGCCAGGGTGTACAAGACCTACATTATAATATTCTGGATCTAAAAGTTGTAGTACAGCTTAAGAAATTGTGAGAGTTTCCTCTGAAACAGCAAGTCTGTTGTCTCAGATTGACTAAGGTTCATGTATTTGTTACCTGTGTATGCATTTGGGTCATGGGCTATGCATGTCACATGTCTTCAGGTAAAAATATTATTGGGTCATCTAAATTATGAAAAGGAAAATGATATTGTATTCTCACATACCTCTAGTGGTATGTAGCCATGCAGATATTTTTTGAATTTGAGTCATCTGTCTCTAGAGAGTTATGCCTCCACCCCAATACAGTGGAGGTGAATGGAGTTTTATTTGCAGTGCTCAAATGTCTTTCCTGAAACAATGGCCCTGTTACTCTGGATCAACTACAAAACACACAGTCAGCTGTTTTCAAAGGGATTATTTATTTACCAGAAAGCAATTCCAAGGAAAACTGTTGACTGTTAGGTCTGTGGATTATCTTGAGAAACAGACGCATTGTTTCTGAAAAGACACATTGTTGCTTTGAATTAAATGTACTTTTTCAACACTTTAAGGACCAAAAACTGAATTCTATTTACCCCAATTGTATAGGGGCGACAGCAGAAATCTTAAAATGGACACATAACTAACCAATCATATACTTGGCTAGATGGAGCTTGTGGTGAGTAAGAAAGTGTGTTTTTTTTAGCCATGCTAGCGGCAGGTCTTTAGCCAGATGAATAAGTTTTCATATAGCGCCGCTATCAGGTCAAAATTTGTCAACAACACTTTGGTTTATGACCAAAAACCAGACAGAAAGTGTCACTAGTTTTCCCCTAGTGACACTTTGTGTTTGGTGCTACTTAGTATAATGTTAGCATGCTAAGATGCTAAAGTAAGGTGGTGAACATGGTAAACATTATACCTTCTTAGCATCAGAGCTTAGCATTGTCATTTTGAGAATATTAGCATGCTGATGTTAGCATGTAGCTCAAAGCACAGCCCTGACTAAGTACAGCCTTGCAGAGGAGCTGGCATCGCTGCACAGTCTTTGTCTTGTTTGTAATTGGATGAACCAGCCCTTTGAGCAAAAGAGAACAGCCTTGAAAAACATCCAACATCTGTAGCAGGCGTCTAGAGATAAGCTCCCTGCCTCTTGTACAACATCACCTGTGATCCAGCTTTGGTTTTCTCATAAAGAATAAATGAATGTACATCATAAGTAATGCAAGGAGTCCAAGCAAAAAAATGTACTGTTTTTTTTCTCTTTTCAGGACAGTGACCTGCTAACATTTAACATCTCAGCCCATCACTCTTGGTGGAGTGAACACGGGCCGGGCTGCGTGAGGAGAGAGATGCCGCAGGCTGCAGGGGTCCGCACCACAGAGAGCCACTCCTACATCACTGTCATGGGCTGCCTCATGGACTACCAGTACATCGAGGTTGTGCATAGCGGCACACAGATTCTTGCTGCTGTGAGTACAAGTTGGCAATGTACATGTGACTCTAGCACTGACATATTCACATGCTACAGGAACTCCTCATATTACATACTTAACACCCGCAGGAACCTCACTCACCGTGGGATTGATACATGTAAAAGGTGCACGAGATAGTTTTTGTTTCCCTTTGAGCACTTTTCTCAATATAATTCCACAGCGGTCTGTTATTTTGTCTGTCGCAGCCACCCTTCCTCTGCCCCGGTCGCTGAATGAAAAATTGATCTGTTGTTTTGTCTGGCTGCGACTCAGACCTGCCAGCTGCTAACAGGTTACTCAAACATTGGAAGGACTGTTATTGTCCTCTTTATACGGCTCTGTATGACAACACTAGAAACTCACATCCTGCCAGCGTGCACATTTGCACACACTTGTGTATGACTGACTAACCTCATATTGGATGGGGGCCAGGACTCTCAGTTGCCAGCACAGCTCGCACTTAGGTTCAGACATGCATATTACACACATTTACTCACAGCAGCATTCACTTACACACATTTTGCCTCCACTGCAATGTACATAAACATCCCTGTTTTTCACACTTGTCACTTTAATACATGTGGAGTGAATTTAATTAATGTTGGCAGTATGTGACCGAGAGAAAGTGAGCCAATACACAGCAACTTCATCAGCCTTCAGTGAGTTTCAGAGTCCTGATGGCTTCCATTCTCTCCATCTAATCTTGAAATAATTTACACCTGGGAGAGCACAGTGAATGCAGTTAACTAGTTTAGGAAAATCAGAGGTACCCTGTGTTGAGAAGCACTAGATTGTACAATTCATCCCATCACCCCCATGGAGTGACAGTGATAAAATGACTGACCTCACTTTATAGCCTCAACTCTCTCCTCGTCTCTCATTAGCCCTTGCACTACAGCAGGTGAATTGGTTTATTTCTTTCTTCTTTGCATGCATTTTTAGATGGTATTGCCAAGCATTCAACGGCATCTTACGGCATCGACTCTCGAGAGGAGCAGGGAAATTGGTACTGAAATCCCAGTGTCACAAATGGCATCATTTTTCCTGTATCCTAATTTCCTCTCAGGCTAAAAGCAGGGCACTGTTTAGGAAAACGGGGTCCTTTGAGATGTCCACTCTTGTTTTGGCGTGTCCTTCTCCCTCTCTGGTGGAAGAGAGGGCCAGACAGAAAGAGCGAGTGGAAGGGATGAATGCAAAAAAATAGCAAGAAAGTGGGTGCCCCTTTGTCTTTGTTAGAGGAACTTCAAGGTCGCCGTTTGAGAGGCCATTAAATATTTAGTTTGGGCTCCAAGGAGCATGTTTCATTAAGATGAAAAATGTGGCTCCATTGGCCAGTAATGGAGGCATCACTGTCATCTATCTCCGATTCATCATGAGCTAGAAGGCAGCTATTCAGAAGCAAAGCTTTGGATTTGGTAAAGATTGCTCTGTGTTGTTGCTTATTGCCGCTAAAGGCTACATTCAGCCTAAAAGTAACTTGAAGGTTTAAAGGATGAGCTGGAAGTGGAGGCAACCTTTTCAAACTGGGATAATGTATTATTCATTGGTTCATCACTGAGGGGAATATTTTTCTCCATCTCTGCCCTTATCCTGTTCTTTGTTGCCTTCACTGTAATCCACCTCACCCATCCATCCTACAGTACATGCTGCTATAGTATGGCTTTTCTACTACTGTCATAATAATGATGATTTCCCTGTCAATGTAGTCAGCAGAAAATCCACACACTCACTTTTTTCCTCCCAACATTGTGTCTTCTTTTGCTCCCGTGCATTGCCTTCACTGTTAAATAAAACAGTCAAGTCTGAGGAAACATCTCCAGTGAGATGGAGGGTAGTCGGGAAGGAAAATATGAAAGAGAAGAAGTAGTGTGCAATATGTGATATTTAGTTTACATCTGAAGACGTAACTCTTACACACTAAAAGGAGCAGTGAGAAATGTCAAGGGGCTGCCAGAGCTGCAGTGCTTCTCATAAAACAGCCAAAGAAAGCTTGCACGCACACGCACGCACGCACGCACGCACACAGATATCATATAATTTAGCGTAGGTTATTGCTGCCACAGGCAAAGCTTTCTTCTGTTCCCTCTCTATTCCCTGTGAACCTGCATTGGGAGGATTGTGTGGAAGCTGATAGTGGGAGGAAAGGCAGGCTGCATCATTCCGTCATTCCATTGCTCATTTGCTGTTTTCTTTCCATCTCTTTTTCTCACAATCTCTCTCCACTCTTGTCTGTCTTCCTGTCTGCCTTTCCTGCCCAGGTCTCACACGGTTTAACCTTCACGTCGATCAAATTCCTACCAACTTAAACGACAAAAAATGACAAAGCACTTCTCTCTCTCCCCTGCATTTCTGTCTCACTGTCACTCTTGCTCCTTCCCTCGACAGATGGCTCTGTCGTGTCGGTCTGCTGTCTGTGTTAAAGTGCGGCTTGTTTAGCGCCAGTAACGAATAACTGCCCCTAGTTGATTAGAGGAGTTCCCTCAGCAGGCTCTGGCGTGGGCAGACCCCTGTGATTACTGCCCTGGGCTGTGCTTGCCTATGGGGTCAGGTGTGTGCTTTGTGGTTGTTCAGGTTCACTCAGTTCAGCTGCATGAAAACAGCATGGCCACCCCACCCACCCCCCCACTCATTCCAAAGGTCAGGGTGCTCGCTTTGATAAGTCCATTAGTCCATGTTTTGTTTTCAAACTCTCATGCTGAACCACTGTGGTGAATATGTCTGTATTTATTTGTGTGTATGCTGCATGGTTTGCCAACTGGAGGCATCTTTTGATGTGCTCATATTTGAAGTACAGTAATTTGTCCCGAATCATAAATGATCATGCATTGTCTAGTATAATAATAGCATTAAGCACATCTGCAATATGCCAGCACTGACACTGCATTGTAACTGCACTGTAAGTTTTACAGCATCTGCTTCAAAGGATTATAAAGATCCTAGGCTTAAAAGACTTGTGAGGCAGTAGTGAGAACTTATTAGGTCTGCTGACTACTGCCAAAAACGGGGAGGAGAAGAGAATGACCTCAAGACCAGAAGAGGGAGAATTAGTCTCCAGCAGGCCACTGAATATTGTGTCAGGCTACTCGGAGTACATCATAAAAACATGACTGCCCGCCATTATACTTCAAAGGCTGTCTCTGCCAAGAGCTTTAATTGTTAATCTGTTTTTCAGGGAAATGGATTTTCCTCAGATTAATTTTACTCTAATATTTGGTCTTTTTAAACTTCTGAAAGTACGCAAAGAAGAAGAGGGAAAGAAGAGGAGAACTTGGAAGTGGAAAAACAAGCAACATTAAAGGAATAAACTCTCCCTAGCGGCATGCTTGCTTTTCTTTCTGCTTGTTGAGTGACTGTGTTTAATATGCTTGTTTTGCCTTCTGTCCATTCATGTCTTGGTCCAGAGAGACCCATTTTTCTCCCCTTCACTAAGTCAGACCTCATCTACGCTCTCCTGTATGGGGCATGTAAGGAACAAGCAGCATATTCTTTCTTCGTACACCCTTTATTTATGCACGAGTGGCCGCATGTGGACATCAGCGCGCTGTTATTTGCAGTTATTTATGTGGAAGATGCAAATCAGCGCCACAAAAGCTCGACAACCCTCTGTGGCCCTATGTAAGCTGTATAGTTCCGTGTGTGTGTGTGTTCACATTTGGAGAGGGGGCTGGTAGAAGAGAACAGGTGGATGTGGTCTCGGCAGTCCCTATCTCATCATGTTTTGTCATTAAACATGCAGCTGCCCACACAAACACACGCCTTATTTTCTGCAGAGAAGCCTGAGCCTTATTGTCAGGCAGAAAGTCCTGTGTAATTAACCTACAAGACATCTGCACCACCCCCTCTCTTTCACTGCTCTTCCTCTCTCCCATGTGATATATTTTACCTACAAATACCTTTCATTATAGTACACTTTCTCCCGACACTGAGCCACAATCAATACTGTGTTAATTAGCTTGTAGATCGACTCAGATATCCATCACTGCACACACACACATACACAGGCCAATCGTTGTGGACGGGAGGCATCTGTAAAATTATATCGTACAGAATGCCAAAAACAGAGACAGCTATAGGCTGTCAAGGCTATTGAAAAAAGGCTTATCAAAATTTCCCTAAGCCCAAAGTGGCATCTTCCAATTGCTTGTGTTTGTCCGACCAGCTAGCCAAAACCAAAAGAGATTCAGTTTAGTACGATATAAAACGGAGAAAGGAAATTTAACAAGTGCCATTTTTGACTTTTTGATCTCCGGACTTTCCTCCAGTGCCACCACCAGATCAAATTTAACAATTTCTCAATCTACTGGCACAATTGATTGGCTCAACATTTATAATGAAGTCATACTTCGCAGACGGTTTATCCCATTGACTTTGGGGATAATCTGACTTTTCCTCTAGCGCTACCATGAGGTTTATATTTGTGGTTTTAAGTGAATGTTTTCAATTATTGGACAAATTGCCATTACATTTGCTTCAAACATTCACGTTCCCCTCAGGATGAATTGTGAATCACTTTGGCAATGTCCTAACTTTTTGTCCAGAGCAATCATCGGGTCAAAATTTCAATTTTTCCAACAAGCTAAACTAAGATGTTGAACATGGTAAACATTTTACCTGCTCAGCATATTAGCATTGTCATTGGGAGCATGTACGCATTCACATGTTAGCATCTAGCTCAAAGCACCGCTGTGCCCAAGTACAATTTCACAGAACTGCTAGCATGGCGATAGACTCCTAGGCCCCATCCACTCTACTGTGTTTTCATTTTAAAGAGGAGACCTTTTGCTACGTTTGCATCTCTTGCAGTGAAAACAAAGACCTAAAACAGAAAGGTTTGAAAACGCTGCTGACCCCGTTTTTCATTTTGAAACTTCGGAGAGCATTTTAGTGAAGACGGGCAAAAACGGAGGACTTTAGAAACAATGATGTAGACGCTCGTGTTTGGCTCTCTGATTGGGTCTCATAAGTCATGCAAAGTAGAAAAACAATGCTACTGACAG